CTGCTCTGGCTCCACCTAACAAATCTTAAAAGTAAGATCCAAAAGAATAAAACTATTTCCAAGTAAGTTAACTGTGCCTTAGAACAGGGTTCAAAAATATTTATAGGAATACAAAAATATCCAGCACCCAACAAGGAAAAAAAAAATCAAAATGTCTGGCATTCAGTCAAAAATTACCTGGCATGCAAAAAAAGCAGGAAAATGCAACCCATAATGAGGAAAGAAACCAATCCATTTAAACTGACCCAGACATTAGAATTAGCATATAAAGACATTAAAACAATTTTAACTCTATTCCATATGTCAAAAATGTTAAGGTATGTGATATATTAACAAGACCCAAATTGAACTTCTAAAGGTGAAAATTATAATGTCTGAGATGAAATATTCACCAGATGGGGTGAACGACAGGTTAGACTTTACAGAAAGCATTGAAGACATAGCTCTAGAAACAATGAAACAAAGAAAGAAGAAAGAATTTTTAAAAATAAAAAGAATCACTTCATGTGGCCAAAAATACATGTAATTGGAGTTACTGATGGAGAAGAAAGATGGTTGGAACGATTTCCAAATATGATAGAACTACAAACTCACACATCCAAGAAGCTCAATGAACCTCAAGCACAAGAAAATAATACAATTACTCAAAACTTGTATTAAAGAAAAGATCTTAGAGTCAAAGGACAAAACTAGTACATATGTACAGGGGAACAAAGACAGGAATAAAAGCAGATTTCTCAATGCAAATAATGCAAGCGAGACAGAGGAACAATACTTTTAAATTACTAAAAGAAAAATCTGTCAATCTAGAATTCTGTATCCAGCAATAACTTCTAAAAGCAAAAGCAGAAAGAACTGATCACTAACAGATCTAAAATAAAATAGAAAAAACACCCATCAGGCAGGACAATAAAATCAGGTGAAATTATATATGTGAAGGAATGATTAGCAGCAAAATTGGTAACTATAGGTAAATATATAAAATTATTTTTTGTAAAGAATAAAATTATTTTTATTAAATATCTTTAAAATATAATTTACTATTTAAGGAAAATAACAATAATGAATTATGAAACATAACATATACATATACATATATGTGCAAAATATATGACAACACTATAAAGGCTAAGTGGGGAGAAATAAAGGTATACTATTATAAGATTCCCATACTATATATAGAGAGTGGTATAATAGCTTTAACAGTATACTATGTTATGTTGAATATGCATACATAAACACTATAGTAACCACTAAATTAAAATTTAAAAGATTTATAGTTAATAAATCAACAAAGGAAATGAAATGGAATCATAAAAGCACCCAATCCAAAAAAAGAAAAAGAATAAAAAGGAAACAAAGAAAGCTGGAAACAATAGAAAACAAGTAACAAGATGATAAACTTAAAGCTGCCCACAAAAAATATCACATAAAATATGAATAGTTTAAATACCTCAGTTTAAAGGTAACAAATCAGACTGGATTTTAAAAAAAATAATTAAAAAATGACCTACATATATGTTGCCTATAAGAAATACATTTTACATATACAGGCACAAATAATATAAAAGTAAAAGAGTGGAAAATGTAAGAGCAATCTAACACTAATCCTAAGAAAGCTGAAGTAGTTGTATCAATAACAGTAGATTTCAGAGCAAAAAATGTAACAAGGATACAGACAACAGTTTCACAGTGATAAAGAGACCAATTCATCAGGGGATCTAGTGATTCTAAATCCTTGTGTTCTTAATAACAGAGCTTCAAAAAAACTGGATAGAACTGGAGTAAAAACTAATAGAACTATAGGAAGAAATAGATAAATCCACAATTATTGTCAGAGGTTTCAATACGAAGGTCTCAAATATTGATACAACAAGACAGAAAATCAGAAAGGATTTAGAAGAGTTGAATGACATAATTAACTGATTTGATCTAGTTGACATTTAAAATAATATCCCATCCACAAAAAGCAGAATATATACTCTCTTAAAATGGACAGACCTGGAGCACTTGTGGCTCAGTTGGTTAAGTCTCTGCCTTTGGCTCAGGTCATGATCTCAGGGTCTTGGGATGGTGCCCCTCATCCAGCTTCCCCTCTCCCTCTGTCCCTCCCCTCTGCTTGTGTGTGTGTGCTCTTTCTTTTACTTTCTCTGCCTCTTAAATAATTTTTAAAAATAGAGAAAACCAGATTCAGAACCATAAAACCAGTCTCAATAGATTTAAAGTTACGTTCTTTGATATAGTGAAATCAAACTAAAATTCAATAACAAAAAGATGTCTGTAAAATCCCCAAATGTTTGGAAAATAAGTAACAAATATATAATAGTAAAGAATCCATAAATAAAAGAAGAAAACAAATGGGAAATTGGAACATACTTTGAATTGAATGAAAATGAAAATATAACTTATCAAACAGTGGTTAGCCACTAAAGCAGTAGTTAGAGGGAATATGTATATTACAAGGAAAATCTCAAATCAATAACCTCAGCTATTACCTTAAAAATGTGGAAAAAAGAGGAATAAACTAAATCCAAATTCGGCCAAAGAAAGAACAAAGACCCCAACAGAACTCAGTGAAACAGAAAACAATAGTAAAAACCAATGAAATCAAAGTTGATTGTATTGAGAAGGTAAATAAATTGCATAACCTGTAGCTAGATCGATCAGAGGAAAAAGAAAAGGCAAATTACCAAAATACAAGAATGAGACAGGATATTACTATAATTTCCACAGATATTAAAAGAATAATTATAGAATGTTATGAACAACTTCTTGCCAGTAAGTTTTATAACTTACACAAAATGGACAAATTCCTTGAAACACTCTGTATCCAACCAGACAATCAAATTGGTAGTTAAAACCTTTATACAGGGAAAGCTTGAAGCCCAGATCATTTCACTGGTGAATTCTACTAAATACTTAAGGGAGAAATATTATTAATTCTACCCAAACTCTTTTAGAAAATGGATAAAGGGGGGAAATATTTTGCAATTTATTTTGTGAGGGCAGAATTAACCCTGATAACAAAAATAGACAAAAGTATTACAAGAAAACAAGAGATCAGAATCTCTCACAAACATAGATGCAAAAATTCTAAACAAAGTTTTAACATATCAAACCCAACTCTCTCTCTCTCTCTCTCTCTCTCTCTCTCTCTCTCTCTCTCTCTCTCTCTCTCTCTCTCTCTCTCTATATATATATATATATATATATAGAGAGAGAGAGAGAGAGAATCCCCAGAGAGAATGCATCATGACCATGTGGGATTTATTTACTCTGGAAATGTAAGGTTGTTTCATCATTTGAAAATCCATCAATGTAATTTATCATATTTTTAATGTAATTTATCATATTAACAAACTAAGAAACATAAATTATATGATCATGGTCATAGACTCAGAACATTAAAATTCCATTTCTAATGAAAACAAAACAAAAATCTCTCAGCAAATAAGCGTTTAGTCTTTCATCACTAAGTATGATGTTACATAAAGAACGGACACTGTGCTAGGAGTAAGACCTGATTGCAAAGCCTGGCTCTACCAGGTACTGGTTGTAGGACTTTGGGGAAGTCACATCTCTTTGGGACTCACTTGGACTGTAAAACCAAGGCTGGTAATCGTTTGTAGAATGAAGTTAAAAAAAAATAATGTCAGTTGTTCCTTTGCCCCCCTCGCCCCCCAAAATCAATTTCAACAACTACCCATGCAGAAAAATACCTCCACGGAACTAAGGTTTCTAGATAAGGGATTATAGCACCTGGGTGAAGCAAAAAATGGGAAAAGCTATATTAAGCAGGTTAGGAAAGACAGATCCACTGTTGCAACCATCCCCCAAGACTGGACGTCTAATACAGAGAGAGAAACCCATCCCATGGAAGAAGGAGAGAGAAGTGTGTGTGCCTGACGTCACTACAAACCCCGTAACTACCCTGCTCCAGGCACCAGGCCAACTTCCTTGAATGTAGGTGGCTCCTAGCAGGCTCTTAGGACCCCAGGACCCTGGCTTGAGCCACCAACTATCAAGGCCCCAAAAACTTCCATGATGCCGGGCTCCCATGAACTCAGACTCCCAAACTATCCTGGTGCCTGCCAGTTCCAACAGGCCCAGGGGCAGTCCCTGTGGCCCAGGCTCCAGTTGGTCCCAGCGTTAGGCTAACTACCACAGACCCAGACTCCCAACCTGCCTTGGAGCAAAACCAGCCCCCACAGGGCCCACCTCCAGGATGGCACAGCTTCTCAGGTACGTGAGACATTCAGAACTCAAGGAGAACACTCAAGATCTATAACCATCCTACCACTCTTAAAAAGTCCCTTTCCTCATCTTCTTTATGCCTGAATCATTTCCAAATCCCTCTTCCTCAGAACTATCTCACTGGAGATATGTCTCACCAGAAAAGGCAATTCCTTGAATTTTTTTTTAATTTTTTTTTATTTATGAGAGAGAGAGAGAGAGAGAGAGAGAGAGAGAGAGGCAGAGACATAGGCAGAGGGAGAAACAGGCTCCATGCACCAGGAGCCTGACGTGGGATTCGATCCCAGGTCTCCAGGATCGCGCCCCAGGCCAAAGGCAGGCGCTAAACCGCTGCACCACCCAAGGATCCTTTTTTTTTTTTTTAATTCCTTGAATTTTTAAATTTCAGTCCCAGAGAGAATATATTTCAGACTCAGGATTCAAGCATGTGACCTATAGGCCTTTCCAAGCAGAAAAGGATAAGTCCTCTTCTGAATTAACTGACCCCTTGATAGAGGACTTGAACTCAGAGAATCAGAAATCCCTTTGGCTACAGTTTACTATCTTACCCTACTGAAAATCATATGGAAAAAAACAAACAAACAAACAAAAAACATGGGCATAGGCACCAGTGACAACCGCTAATGAAACCTCAAATGCCTTCCCACATCAGATGACAAGAAGTCTCCAAAGGCATTTGGAAAATCCATTCCTCACCTCCGTCACACTATCCCAACAAAATGCAAAGTCACAGGCTTCCTACTTACCTGTGTAGAGGTCCGTATCCGTATATTCATCCACTTTCTTATGCTGCAGAATATAGTCCGAGACCTTGGTCCCAATAGCTGGCTGAACATCCACCCACTCCAAGGAGACCACTGTGCTGGAGGGCTCTACTGTTGGGGACAGACGAAGCCTAGAGAGGGGGACAGGGAAGGTTGGTTGTTTGCCAGCCAGTACGGTCTGGGCCCCCAAAGAGTCTGCAGTGTCTCAGGATTAAAAGCACAGGGTCCAGCCTGCGCTCAAATCTGGTTTCAACCCACCAACAAGCTTTTTTTATGGACTTTGGCAACTTGGTATACCTCTCTCAGCCTGCATTTCCTTGTCCATAAAATAGGGATAACGAACGGCTACCTTTCAGCATCAATGTGGGATCCAGTAAATTAATCCAAGCGCACAATACATGCTCACAGAAAATTGATCAGCTTTCCATCTGTCTAAACTGTATTCTCAGTGATGCTTCATCATCAGTTGACAACGCCTTCGAACACAGTAGCCTCAGCCTTCCTGCCATTCTCTCCAGTCCCCCAACAGATCAGCTAACTTGTTAATATGCTTGAATCGATACTCCCTCGGAGAGGGCAGGAGTCCCAGCAAATCCTTTTATAAGGTAAGGCATAGCAGAATGATTGAAGGTTAGAACTGGAGAGGTCCTTAGAGGTTGAGAAGTACAATCACCTCATTTCACAGATGGGGGAGTAAGGTCCAGACGAGGAAAATTATTTGCAAGAAAAGTATTTGCAAGCTGGGGACAGAACCGTGATGGTAGTAACTTTGGTGTCCTCAGCCCAGTTCCTTCTCTCTTTCCACTACACTAAACCACACCTCTTCAAGAACCATCTTACAGCATAATCTACCCAACACACACACAGACATGTTAGGAAACTTTGGTTCCCCCATACTGGCTCCTGTCCCACTCTCCTATGCTCCTCACAGCACGGTCTTAATCCCACTCCCTCAGTCAAGATGACCTTCTCTTAATTCCTTGAAGGGTCAATTTCCCACATCAGGATTTTCACATGTGCTCTTCCTATTGTCTGAACTATGACTGTTACCATTTATTATCTGGAAAACTACTCTAACTCAGGTCTTTTCAGAGAGGTTTCCCTAAGTCCCTCCCCTCCAACACACCAACCCACATTATTTTCTCTTCCAGCACCTGTTTGTTTTTCTTTCATGTTTTTATTCACTTTCTAAACTGTATCATATTTTCCTGTTTTTTGCTTTGATATATGTCCCCTCACTAAATGGCCAGCTCCCTAAGGGCACAGACTGTCTTCTCCACTGATGAATTCCCCAATGTCTGACACATAGCAGGTGTTCAGAAATTATTTGTTGAATGAACGAAGTGATGTTCCTTTGAAAAGGTTCTACGCTCTCTTCATCTCAGTGGCCCCAATGTCCACTACAGGCACTGATAAAGCAATAGTCAGGGCCCTGTAAACCTCTCTGAGCAGTTGAGTGAGGAAGTAATGATAAATCCAGGTTAGCATTTTAAAAAGCCAGTTTCTATGCTGCCAAAACTCCCCGCTTTCTCAAAGAAGGAGGCAGGGCCCAGCAACTTCATCTGGTGACATGCTCTGGGTACAGAAGCAAGCCCTGGCCTGGGCTGGCAGGACAGAACTGGTGATTCCATGACAAGGGGTGGCCAAAGGAAGAGGACCATACATACGTACACTGGCTGCGGGAGGGGGCTGCAGTTGGGGAGCCCACTGGCATCAAAGGCGCTGAGGTCACATCTGCACCAGTCATCGATCACGTCCCCTTTCCCTGAGCACCAGTAGGAGCTCATCAGTGCACTCTTGAAAGCCTGGAATAAAGGAGGGCAGAAGAGATGATGATGACCATGGTGGAGAGATTGAGAGTGAAGGTTCCAGTGACCACAACAGCTGACCCAAGCTTCACAGCAATCCACCTCGGCACGGGACACCATCTCTCGTCCAAACACCTCACACTCTACCACCAGGTTCTCCTGTTTTGAGCCGTCGTTCTCTCCCCAGCAGCCAGAATGATCATTGAGGCGGGACAATATTAACAACAACCACTAAGAACCTCCTCTGGGGCCCAGATTAACTAATTTAACCTCATGCAATGGATATAATTATTATTAACATTATCATTTTCCCTTCTACCAATTGGAAAACTGAGACACACAGAAATAACTTGCCTGCGGTTCACAACCAGTAAGAGAGAGGGCATCTGATGAAAGCAGTGTGGCTCCAGACCCTGCCCCAACTCTTTTTTTTTTTTTAACTGAAGTATAACTAGCAGTGTTTCAGTAGCATCAAGTGTACAATGGAAGGACTCAACCATTCCTTACACTACTCAGAGCCTACCACAGCAAGTGTAGTCACCACCTGTTGCTGTGCTGCTTCTTGCACACGACTGACCATCTCACTTCCCTGCGTAAAGACCTTCAAAGGCTCCCCATGGCTCTCAGGATAAATTCTAAGCTCCTTACTCCAGCTCCTGACCACTTCCACGGTATCGTTGTTCACCACTCCTCTGATTTTTCCTTGCATGCTACGGTCCACCCTCATGCAACCATTAACATACCCACCAACAGAAAATTCCTGCTTATGGAAAACATGCTCTAAATTAGGAGACAACAAATTGCTTCTGTAAAGGGACAGATAGCAAATAATTTTGGCTTTGTGGCCAGGTAGTCTCTGCCATAGTGAGTTAGCTCTACCTTTGTAGCATGAAATCGATGTAGATAATACTTTAAATGAAGGGGCATGATTGTGTTCTGATAAAGCTTTATTTGCAAAGACTGGAAGCAGGCTAAGTTTGGTCTAGACAGTTTGCTGACCCTTGCTCTAAATTATGATTAACATCCTAGAGAATTGCAATGTGCCTCATTGTTTTTTAATTAAAAAAAAAAAAAACTTTTTTCTCCCTGCTGGAACATTCCCTGCCCCCTTCCCTGTACTCCAATTCACTCTTTTGGTCTTCAATGAAACATTCCTTTGCTCGGGGAACCCTACGTCTTGAGTTTCTTAAGCCTTGAATCATGCTCCTCTCTTGGACACCATAACACACTAAACACACTAGACCACACCTACTGTCACATTCCGTTGCCTGCCTTCCGCAACAGATTCTGACCGCACCAAGGGTACAGGCCATGCCTTATTCACACAAGCATTCTCACAGGACCTGGCCCAGATATCCAGTCAATATTTACTGAATAAATAAATGGACACTGAAAAACATCATTAGGCTCAGGCTCAGGTTTGGGTGTGCTTCGTGCTCTAGTCATTCCATTTACACCGATGTTTCAAGGCCCTGGGGATTCAGAATGTTTGACAGCTCTTTTTTAAACTTACGGACTTTAGAGAATACTAGTCTCTTACCCTTTTACCAGGAAACACACCCTATGTCCTTTCTTTTTCTTTTATGTTACTTTCTTTATACTTTTTAAAATGAAAGTTTCACGCTGCCTAGAACTATGGACACCTGGTTACCCAGGTGTCGTTTTGCAGCCTGCATTGTCAAAGACTCAGGTGTGGGGTGGCTCAGCAGTTTAGCTCTGCCTTCAGCCCAGGGCGTGATCCTGGAGTCCCAGGATCGAGTCCCGCGTCAGGCTCCCTGCTTGGAGCCTGCTTCTCCCTCTGCCTGTGTCTCTGCCTCTCTCTCTCTCTCTCTCTCTCTGTCATAAATAAATAAATGAAATCTTTAAAAAAAAAAAAAAAAAGATGGCAACCACCTGACTCCTCTTGTCATGCTGGCTGACCCCGTGGCAGGGCTGGGCTAGTATCTCTTTGAAAGGCTCACCATTAAGCACAATTCCAAGCCTCTGAAACTCAGTAGCTTAGAAGGACCCTCCCTGGCATCCCTCCTGATATAGGGGCTTCTAACTAAGTCTCTCCCTGCATCCAGTAGGCAGCTTTTTAACCACCCCAGACCCATTTCCCAAGTCCTGGGCTAAATGGACACAATAAAGCTTTTCAGAGGAAAAGGCAAACAAACAAACAAACAAAAAGAATGCTATTGTGTGAGCCTCCACCATATTTCCCTCAGTGCATCTGATGAGGAGACTCCAATATTACTGCTGAATGTTCTCACCCATATTCTCTGCTAGGAAATGAACAAATGATCTAACTTCTTCTGAATTAAGAGTAGCGACTAAAGAAATTTTAAAAAGAATTATAAAAGCTAATGTTCATGAAGCACCTATTACACAGTGTAAGTGTTTTAAGGGCATTGAAAAAAATATAATCCTCACAATGGTACTGAGATACAGATAGTATGACCTTCACTCACAGGTGAAAGAACTGGGCATTAGAGCAGTGAAGCGGTTTTCCCAAGATCACACAGCAATTAAATAGTGGAAGCAAAATCCCAACCCAGATCGCTGTGACTCACAAGCACAGCCCTTTTCTATTTAACCAAGTGGGGCAGTAGGGGTAAACCCCAACTAAGGTTGCCAGATTCAGTAAATAAAAATACAGGATGCCTAGTTAAAAATAAAATTTCAAGTGAATAAGAATTTTTTTAAGCCCATCTCTCTCAGCGTTTGCATATAAAGTACATAGGTCAGAGTGTGGCACACAGTAATCGCACTATTCCTACTACAAGTCAGAACCTATGTTGGAAATAAATGTCTGTTATTCAGTACGAGGTGGGGGGTGGGGAGGAGGTGAGGTCTCATGAGGACAGAAACCAAATGGGATCACGTGAGGTCATGCTGACTGAAGGACCTTCTTTTCCCTCCATCTGCAGGTTCCCTTTTACTAAAATTAACGTGCAGAATGGCTTCAGATTCCGTAACATCTCCAGCCAGCACTAAGGGCTTAATACTACAATGGTGAAATCCAGGGCCACGGGTGAAAGTGACCCAGATGGTAAGAGATGGCTTTGACTCTAGCAATGAGAGGAGAGAGAGAACATCCTGTTTTGTTTGTGTATGTGTTTTTGTTTTTGTGTGAGTGTGTGTTTTGTAATCAATAGTCGCTTGAGCTTGTGCAAAACAAAACAGGAAATCTCTCCGGACTTTGCGAGTTTCACCATCCAAGCTGCTCTTGGGAAGAAACCCTGCCTGGGAGTCTCCACATCTACTGGCTCTTCCCCAAACCATGAGGAACAGAATGGGGACTGGTGCAGTGGCCAGGCAAACCCTGGAGAGAGCACAAACACACCCTGATAAAAGGCCTACATCAAAGAGGGAGCCCTGGCTAGGCAGCAGAAGCCAGCATTGTGTCAGGACAGGATCACTCTTTCCTTATGTCTCCAGCCCTTGCAACATCCCATCCCGAATCCAATTCCATCCCAGGGGAGGAGAATCATAGAATGTTCCAGCTTCAAGGGACTCTGTAAATCATCTAATCTAATCCATTTGACAGATCAGATACAGTGGCTGGGAAAGGCAAGTGGGTTGGTCCAAGGTGAGGGAGCAGCTCTGTGATGAAATGATTCTATTCCTCCATTTAATCCTAAAATTACTCTTTGAGATGGACGTCCTATCCTCATTCACAAGTGAGCACGGAAGACTTGAACTGAAGTCCATCTGAATCCTGGCACCCTGGACCTTCCCAGGTCACACAGGAACCATAAATGCCAAGATTTCATCCAAAACATCCTTTTCAGCTGCTCTGTTTTAGATCACGTGCTTATGTGCTGTTTGTGTGCCTGTCTGCGAGTCCTTGTGCAAGTGTGTGTGCGTGTGTGTGTGTGTGTGTGTGTGTGTGTGTGTGTGCATGTTCTCAGAGGAAAATGAAACCTTACACTGGAGGCATTGTTGACTCCTGGCTTTGGAGTCAGCGAAGGGATTTAAGAAACAAATCCTGTACTTAAACACGGGTAAGGACTGCATTTGCATGACCATTGGTTTTCATAACAAAGAAATGCTTCCAACTTCTGGCTAATTAGCTAGCAAACCAAACAGGGCAGGAGGAGAAAACAGCCACAAAAATGTTAAGCAATCAAAATAAACTAGGATTTATTTCTGACTCGATGGTTACCTCCCCATTTGAACTTGCCTCATTTAAATTATTGAGTTATCCCTCTCTTTAAGCCTTAATTTCTCCATCTGTAAAATGAGGACACGGAAGATATATTTTTGAAAGTTTAGTTCAGTTCAGTAAACATTCACTGATCTTCCTACTCCATACCATCTGCTGTCTAGATGCTAAAAAATGAGTTGAACAAGACCCAGTAGCTAACTTCAAAGGACTCACAGTTTAATGGTGAAGACATAATCATAATAAATACTATTTATTCAAATGCTATGAAGTAATACACACAGGAGGCCTTTGGGAATACCAAAGAAGGGGGCTCTTCCAGCTATAAAATACCGACAATGTCTTAGCAATCTTAACTTTAATACTCTGTATTTGACTAAGATACTTGGGACCATCTATATAGAATGTCACTAAACCCGTGAATTAAATTCCATGCTCTGTATTTAGAATGACTTTATTTTTACAGTGCAAATCATACTCGGAGGCTGACTCCAGGTCTGTTATTTTTGATACTGAGATGATTCTGGTCTGTCTGACCAAAAAGCATGCCCTGAAGTCCTCACTCAAAGCTTAATGGATTTTGTTATCTCTACGGTGCTATTAAGATTGGTCCTGTGGCTGTTTGAATCTCCTTTCTAGGCGATTGTCGTAGCCTCTGGACTGGCCTTCAAGCTCCAGTGTCACCTTTTCCAGCACCTCCTCTCCCAGTTTTCTGTAACATCATGGCTGATTCCACCCTCTTGCTTGGACTCCTTCAAAGTCCCACCTCCTTCTGGTTAAAGCCTCTGCTTTTTAACCTGACATTCAAAATCCTTTGTTAATATTTCCCACTCATTTTTTCTCCTTTCCC